TCCTACAATAGATGATTGGATAAAGAAGCTGTGGTACATATATACAATGGAATATTATTCAGCCATAAGAAGAGATGAAATATTGCCACTTGTGACGACATGGATGGATCTTGAGATAATCATGCTAAAAGAAATAAGCCAGACAAAAAAAGTTGAAAACCACATGATATCACTTATGTGTGGGATATAAACCTAAAAGCAACAAATGAACAGGATGAATAAACAGAAACTCATGGACATGGACAGTAGACTAGTGGTTACCAGAGGAGAGGGTGGAGGGGGAAAGTAGATGGGGTAAAAGGGGTCGAATATGTGACGACAGAAAGAAATCTAACTGGGCAGTCAACGTACAATGAAATATATAAAATTGTACGCCTGAAACTTACTGGATTTGGTTAACCAATGTCACCATAACAAATAAAATTAAAAAAAAAATAAATTAGGTGTAGAAAAGTTATTAAGTGGGCAGACTGAATTTAATTTCCTCTAAGTTAAAACATGAAATGGAAAAAAAAAAAAAAAAGAGCAGTTCTCTCTGTTTATAACCTAGAAGCTGGGCAATCATGAAGAAGCTGCCTAATTGCAGATTCCAGAGCCACATTACCTTAGCTATAATCACCACCAGCAAAACTCATGCCCCATATTCTGTCGTACCACACCCTGGGACCCCTGTTATTGCTATTCCAGAAAAATCAAATGCTCTATGACTCTTGGCAGAAATAGCAGAAATATGGTCTCCATTTCATCTGGCCTTCTTAATCTCAAGCACACACATTGGCTTGAAGGAAGCTAGGTCACCTCTGGAATTCAAGGTGTAAGGGGGGTTGGGAAATGTATAGACCAGTTTTCTGGGCCCACCAGTGAGCCACAGCACAACCACATGCCATGAACAGGTTACAAGTGTGTCAAAGAAATTGATCTCCTCAGCCTTCTGGGTAGCTACAAAACCCTGGACAGCCAAAGCCTTCTTGGCTAGTAACCTCCTCACCTAGAGTCCCCTAGAAAGTAACCCAGAGTGGGGTCTGATGGTTTACCCTTCAGCTCCTACTGATCAAGAATATGGGAGGTATCTGGTCTTTGCTGCTCTGCTGTGATGCATCATGTGAAGCCAGGAATGTGTCTATAGTCACCTGGACAGCTACTTAAGAAGCTTGCTGCTGAGTGAGCCACTGACTTTTGTGAACAAGGGACACTCTAGCTGCTGGATAATTTCATCGTAAGGTGCAGTCACTGGGGTTAAGGGAACACTAGCTCCTCAGAAGTGCAGCTCCAGGTAGTTGCCCCAAATCTCTGTCTTACGTTTCCTTACGTTTATTTGTTTAGAGTGGTCCAAACAAGTTTCAGGGTGACTGCTCTAATATATACATACACTCCATAAATTAGAACTTCATCATTATTGGGAAATACTTGATATGAAAAAAATTCAATTGCATTTGAGATCTATGGTATTATAATAAAAATATCAATATCACATTTGTCAATGACAAAACAAGGAGATGTTAGGCTCTAAATATAATTTTCAATTTTTGAAGTTTTAAAGAGTTTAATTGTTTCATTGGCTACTTACATATACAAGTTTCTTGTCATGGTGACTATTAAGAATTTAAAGAAGTCATCATTAAAATGTCTTGATTGAAAAATGCATATAGCCATTTCAAGCATAGCACTTGATATTTAATAGTTATGTCTACAAAGCAAGATCAAGCATTTCATTAAAGAATTTGATAGGCAGTGAACACACAATGCAATATATATGCATGCCTTACTGTTGAATTGTACACCTGAAACTTACTAGATTGCATTAACCAATGTCATCATAATAAAAATAAATTTAAAAAATAAAAATAAAGACCTTTTCTGTTCATTACAGAAAAAAAAACCACGACAAACTCAGGCCTCCCAGAAACCCACAGCTGAGGACAGATCTCTCCGTACTCAGGTCTATGAATTTTACTCCCGAGTGGATGCCGCATAGCATCACAAATGCATTGACTGCATCGTCATGACAATATAAGCACACTGAGAGCCGAGGTTTGACCGGTTTTGTTCTTTGTCTTATGCCCAGCTCTTAACATGGCGTCTAAACATTATTGCTGCTCAATAAATAAGCTCAAAAAATTGGGAAAAAAATGTATTTGGAAATTTTACACAAAATTAGTATTTAAAGTCTTCCCTGATTTTAGTTTTTATTATAGCATGTAAAGGAAATATAACATTTTGTTCTACTAAGCTCCAAATAAACACTTAAAAATACTCTCTAGCTTTAGTGCTACGAAAACACTGTCATTTTCTATAGGCACCATGGCATATAAAAAGCAGGACTTGGAATGGAGTAGAATGAGCCAATGTGCAATATATTCCACAGAATCACATATACAAGCTTTCACAGTAAATCTAAGAAAATTATTTACTTGCTACATTAACATTAACCAGAGGATAATGCTCTTGATCACTTTCTCTTTTAAAATTTAGTTATCAGAATTTACCACAGGCACCACCTTATTGTTCAATCTCATAAAAAACCTAGAAGAAATAATTTTCAGGTCATATATGGTCTGTCTCCCTTTGTATGTTGCCAGATCCTGTTCATCCTCTGCACAGCTGGCTTTGAAAACCCAACCCAAGGACCCCTTTCTCCTCTGACCTCCTCTTGCATTCTTTGGGACTTGTCATATGTCAAGCTGCCTTCTGACATACAATAATGGCATCTTGTAAGCAACTTGAGAGGATCTCTGCCTTTTTTATAACTCTTGCAGTTCCGAATGTATATTAAGCTCTTAGTGGTTATCCCTAATTGCTAAAACGCTGTTTGGAGGATCGAACATTAGAAATTAGTTAGGATCAACCAACGGTTTTTTTGTTTGTTTGTTTGTTGCCAATTTTAAGTGTGATATATGTTCATTCTTGAAAATATGAAAAATTAAGTGTAAATTAAAATCACTCAGAATTCTATTATTCAGAAATACCACTCTACATTTTTATCCACCTTTTAAACTGCACTTTTTACAAACAAAATTTGAATCCTGGTATTTGCTTTTCCATTTGATATAATTGTAGAGTTTTCCCCATGTCGTTAAGTAAATTATGGCATATCCAGATCACATTAAAACTATGTCTTAGAACAGAGCTTCTCAAATTTTAATGAGCATACAAATCACCTGGGATATTGTTAAAATACAGGTTCTGGTTCAGTAGGTCTGAAATAGGTCCCAAGATTCTGCATTTCTAATGTCCGCTCATAGGATGCTTATACTATGGGTCTGAGCAGCAAGGGCTTAGAAGGTACATATATTCCATTAATGATGAACATTTATATAGTTTCCAGTGTTTGGCTTTTACGCGGTGAAATATCATCAATGCAGTGTTAAGACCCTTTACACATAATGTAGGAATAAGGCAAATATTTATCAAGTTATAGTTTACAGGCACAAAGATGATTAAAAATCTAGTTACTGGTCAATGTCAATAAATATCAATATTTTCGAGGCTTTGGATGCATGCAGCCAAGAATATTCCATAGTGAGAAGCAGATCAGTGGTTTCCAGGGAACAAAGGGAAAGGCAAAGAGAGAGGAAACTTTTAGTAATGGTAGATTTATTCATTATCTTGATTGTGGTGACATTTTCATGGATTTTTTATATATATGTATACATACTTATACATATATAATCTGTTAAAACTTAGCAAACCATATACTTTAAATATATGCAGTTTGTCGATTATACTTCAATAAAACCATTTTTTAAAATATGAGGGGGTAGGTGAGTGGACAGAGCCACAAAGTACATTCCAGAAGGGTCGTATTTACATTCCACCAGCAACATATGTGAGTGCCTGCCTCATTACACCTTTGTCAGCACTGTAATTCTTAAAGAAAAAACTACTAATTTGAAAGACAAAAACATCTCGTTTGAACGTGCATGTCTTTACTAGCAGACTGAAATTTTTCATGTTGATCAGCTCCTTGCTTACTTATTTTTTTGTAATGTTTCTTATCAAATTATAGGATCTCTTTACTTAGATATGTCATAAATATATCACCAATTTTTCCCTTTATGTTTACCTGTGTATATCTGATGTAATTATAATGTAAATTAACATTTTAAAGAAAAAAAATAATCTTAATACTGCTCTAAACATATATAAACAAAAAAAGCTCAAAGTCAGAAGACAGAATTAGATATTTAAAAAAAAAAACAATAAAAAAATGAAGTCTTTTACAACCAATCACCTAATTTATTTCACAAGGTGGCTGACATTAGCACAAGACTACAGAAGCAAGCCTTATATATAAATGTAAACTTACATCTTTCATAGTCACTCTTTCAGCTGGTTAATATAGTAAAAAAATTAGTGTCATCTCTTTTAAAATTGAAGTAGTAGTACTAAGAAATAGTTTGTGATTTGAGAGCAGTCAGAATCCGGATTTGTAACTCTTACTTTTTGTTAATTATTCTCTCATTGTATAACAAATAGGCCTATGAAATCAAACTAGGGTTGTGTTTTTTGGGGTTTTTTTTTTTGAGATTCAATTAAATAAATATCAGAAAAGGAGAATATTTGCATATTCTCCTGGAGTGAGATCTTTATTTATATTAATAATCCTGAGAAGTCAAATGTTATTAAACTGTTTCCTTCATTCTGAACCTTGAGTCTCACAAGAATTTCTTAGATCACAAGACAAAAGAATGCTA